TGTGGTTGGAGATGTGGCTCTAGGATCAGGCTCATCAACCACACGAGGACCCACAGAGCCCATGGCCAGTGACATGGAATTTCCTAGGTGAACAATCATACTCATTAGTAAGTGATTGCTGACAACGACATTCCCCTAATTAGAATCCCTACAGTGTGGAAGCAGGCCATTCAGCACATCTAATCCATACTGACCCTCCAAAGAGCATCCCATCCAAACCCACCCTGTCCCTGTAACACTGCATTCCCCATAGCTAATTGACCTAACCTATACATCCCTGGACACTACGGGAAATTTAGCATGGCCAATCCACCTAAACTGCATCTCTTTGGACTGTGGGAGGAAACCGGAGCACCCAGTGGAAACCCACCCAGACACAGGGAGAATGTGCAAACTCCTCATAGTCACCCAAGGCTGGTGTCAAACCCTGGTCCCTGGCGCTGTGAGGCAGCAGCGCTAACTACTGAGCCACCATATTTAAAAATCTACTTGTACTGACTATACACCACCAAAGAGCAGAGTGTATTGCTTCATCTAGACTTCCTGCATTTTCTCTCCTTTTGTTGAGGGCCTAAGGCAGCTTGTTTGGCCTTGTACGCCCATAAATGTATATAATATATGTGTGTGTGTCCAGGATTGAAGCTAATGTCACTGTAGATGGAATCTATCATTGAAGCAAGTCAGATGTCTCTAATTAATGATAAGAGAGATCTGAGTGAGGAGCCTCTGAACGAACTGAGAGCTGCACAATGTAAAGTAACAGACTGCTAGGCGATGCGCCAATGCTTTCTTGGTTAAAACTTTGTCAGAAAATCCAAATGTCCTTCAACACAAGGAATGCTAGAGGCAGGGATGAAGAAATCGAAAAGGCAATAGGTCCATGACTAGAGCAAATGGTTCTGCTGGGACAGCCATCATCCATTGCAAGAAACAATTGGGGATATGGATGGAACTCTGTAAACTTTGCTATCACTAAGGAATCTCTGAGAATCATAGACAGCCTGCCCTCTCATGGTTGAGCTAGCCATTGAACCTATATCAGAGGAGTTTTGCAAAGCAATTGACTTGCTTTCCCAATGTAAAACTCAAGGTGCTTGTCTATCCCACCTGAACTTACCAAGCACTGAAAACCAGAAATCCTGCTTCCCTCTCTCTGCTGGGCCGAGGGTACACTAATACAAAAGGGGTGACCTCATACAAGGACATGGGCAACAGTTCCAGCATCTCTTGATGTGTGTCCCTGCTGAGCAGCATGGGGTGAGTATTTACTCATGTTCCCCTTGTTAGTCTCAGATCCTGACTGAATACATCTATGCTAAACCCTTTTGTGCTTTCAGAATTGAATGATCTGCAGATGATTTGACTTCTCAGCCTAGGAGCTGCAAGAGAAATGCTGTGAAGACAGGAGACAGCGATGTAATGTTGTCATCGATCTTACCTGGGTCTTTGACCATGTCAGTAGGAGTGGTCTGTTTAAACTACTGGAGAAACCTGGCTCAGACTTAGACAGTTGCTGACAGTCATGATCTTTACAGACGGAATGTTTGGAAGGATGTTGGAACAGGTAAGTAGAAATGAATCACTCAGCTAGCTGGGAATAGGGCTCAGAGATAAACAGAGGCCCACAAATTCCTGTACCAGGCATGGTGGCACAGTGGTTAGCACAGCTGTCTTACAGCACCAGGGACCCAGGTTCAACCCCAGCTTTGGGTACCTGACTGTGTGGAGTTTGCATGTTCTCCTCATGTGGGCCTCTGGTTTCTTCCCACAGCCCAAAGATGTGCAGATTAGGTGGATCAGCCATGCTAAATTGCTCATAATATGCAGGTTAGCTGGATTGGCCATGGGAAATGGGAGGATAGGATGGATCTGGGTGGAAAGCTCTTTGGAGGATTGGTGCAGACTTGATGGGCTGAATGGCATCTATCTGCACTCTCTCCCTGCCTTCATCAGCAGAAAGTGGAGGTGAGGATCCTGAGCGCCCCCCCCACCCCCGAAGGTCCAGGTTAACACAGAGTTGAGGGGGGATCTTATAGAAACATATAAAATTATGAAGGGAATAGATAAGATAGAAGTAGAGAGAATGTTTCCACTAGCAGGTGAAGCTAGGACAAGAGGGCAAAGCCTCAAGATTAGAGGGAGCAGATTTAGGACTGAACTGAGAAGGAATTTCTTCACCCAGAGGGTTGTTAATCTATGGAATTCCTTGCCCAGTGAAGTAGTTGACGCTACTTCAGTAAATGTTTCTAAAAAAAAGGTAGGTTTTTTTTGAACAATAAAGGAATTAAGGGATACGGTGAGAACGCGGGTAAGTGGATCTGAGTCCACGAAAGGATCAGCCATGATCTTATTGAATGGCGGAGCAGGCTCGAAGGGCCAGACGGCCTACTCCTGCTCCTAGTTCTTAGGTTCTTATGTTCACTATGGCATAAACCATCATTTTATGAGAGAGAAGGTTGGCAGGTTCATGTGTTTATATTCAAATTGTTATGATTAAATGCACTTCCTGTGGGCAACATTTTATTTCCTGCTGAGGTTTGTGTGAACTTTTTAATCATTCATTTCCATGCCCACATTTATGATGGGAATACAGTTGTTAATCCAGTTCACCACATAGTTTAGTTTGTGGGTTCCCGGGATATCTGTAGAATACTTTCTTATGGATTTTTCATTTTGTGCTTGAAGCCTGAAGTAATGGTTTATAATGTAGGTGACTTTTTCCCTTGATAGTTTTGTGTCCTTTAATGCCTTTGTTAGAGTTTTATCTTCAAGGTCTGAGTCACTGGGAAAGTTGGGGCAATGGAGTTGATGGCTACCAGTATCGAAAGCAAGGCAATTTGCTAAATCTTTTCAAAGTTTTTAATCAGCAAGAAAAGTGTCCTTTAAACTTGGTAGCTTCAGGCTTAAGACAATACAAGAGACAATCCAAGCTTGAAATTGCTCTCTTTAGAAAAACATACACAGATATTTGTGACCCTTTAGGGTACTCAGAGTTTTATAGAAGTGTCAGAATGGTGAAACAGTTGTGGCTGGAAATTCTAATATTTAACGAAAGAATGCCTGTTTAAGAGACTGGCTGGGCCGAGATGTTTTATTTCATTGCGAATTCTAGGTAAACCTACAGAGAGCAAGAACAATAGCCATCAAATTGTCTGAAAATGATCAACTTTTGAATAATGCAAAACATTATCATTACCTGGGTTGCATTTAATAATCATTTAAATAAGACATTTTGCCGTCCTTCTGCAGTCTAAGAGACATTAAGCTCTTAGACTAGCTGGGGGTGTGGGGTGGTTGCTGGGGGGTGGGGTGGCAACTGAAGTTGAATCAGTTGGCCAGTGTGTGAAATTTGAATCTGATATGCATACCCTCAAGAGTTTAATACTTGTTGCTCCCATCGGGGATCTGAGAGTCTTGTTTTGATAGAAATTGACTGTCATTGTGTTTTATCTCTTTGATGTCTATGAAATGTAACAACTGTGCTTTATGGAAACCTGGATACAGCTTCTGTGCCTTTCTCATTTTGTTTGACGGTGGACTGAGTTAAATTAATTGATGCAGAGCTAGGTTTGAATCTGAACTGCTTTATTCCACAATCGCGTGAAACCTTATGGAGCATTAAGCTTGATCAGGATAGCCTTGAGCGACTTATTTTAGCAGAATTATCCAAAATCGAGAATATGCTTCACTCTTGTCGCTTCAGTGGATTGCCTCAGTAAAATAGAACAATCTTCCCTGCGACCTATCTTTGACTTATTAGCCTTTGCTTTATTTCTTAAAAAGCTTGATTTAAGTACCAGCTGTTTATTGATGGAAGTTGATCCTCCCAATTCACTTCCAACAGCCATATCGCTCCCCCTAAGCTACGCTCACAAACCCAACTTGTCAACGGCCTCTACTGAAATCACATGAGTTGCTACAGTAGGATGAGCAATGAGTGTGAACAATGTTTATAATGTCAAATTATGTTTCCATTGTCCTCAGGCATTTAAGTTCAGACTGGTCATTCAAAATTGTAGGCACGCACACAACTTCACTTCTCTGAACCGAACGTTGACAGACATAGAAATTATCAAATAACTAACATCTAGATCTTCTCTGTGGAAAAATGGCCGAAATTGTCTTGTATTTTTCTGTGGGCAAGGGAGCTGTTAATTTTTTTTTTCTCACAGAAGGACCATCAGAAATAGGAACAAAAGTCGGCTGCTTGAGCCTGCTCTGCCATTCAATAGGATCATGATAATCTGATATTCCTCACGTCCACTTTCCTGTGTTTTCCCTGTAACCCTCCATTCCCCGACTGATCAGGAATCCCTCTATCTCAGCCTTAAATGTACACAAAGGACTCTGCCCTCGCAGCCCACTGTGGCAAGGGGTTCCATAGACAGCTGGAGGGGATGTTTAGATGTGAAAGGATTTAGAAGCTACTGTCACAGCAGCTTTGGTGAGTTACTGCAGTCCACCTTACAGATAGTATACGCTGCTGCTATTGTGGTGGAGGGAGTGAGTGTTTAAGGTGGATAGGATGCCAATTAGTAAACTCTGGCTTTGATGGCGATGTGCAAATTCCACAAACTAACAGCCAAGAAATTTCTCAATAATTAAATGTTGTTCATGTTGTACAAGGTAACGATTCTGTGAAGTGACTTACTTGAGGTGTATAGTAAGATGCTTTACCCTGGATGGCATTGAGCTTGGAGTGTTCGTGTAAAGGAATGACAAACCGCCCTCTTATATAAAAGTAGGGCAGGAGACAGGATCACCAATTGTAAGGAACTCGGCACACTGACAGTCTCCTGTAAGCATTGCTTACATTTCAGAGCTACAATTTAAAATGACCAGGTTTGGAGTCTGAAGACTGGTCTCATTTGGTGGCAGGACCATTTTTACACCATTCCCTGTTCAGACACTCATGAAACAAAACTAGTGCATTTTAACAAACAAGGAAACTTTATTTATTTTTGTCATTTCTCTCTGTTGTTTTGAAGGTTAAAACAGGGCTGCGAGGACACAGCCATCAGGGTTCATTTTACTGCTGGATCCTGCGGATGGACTGAATCTGGAAAGTCTGCGCATGGGAGCCCCACTCTCTCCAGTGTTTGTACTCTCCGCCATGACGATCACATTCCATGATGAACTGGTAGCCACGGTAACCTGGATATTGGTAGCATACCCATCTGTAGAGGTGAGGTTTGGCGGGGAAGAACAATCAAATTCAATTTTACTTGGACAATGATTTTGATGTTACTAACTTAAATAAGGAACAAACAGAACCGTTGTTCGATTCCTGTTATGTTTGCACTTTTTTGAGCAGGATAATAGGTGGGGTTTTCCCGTCAATGTGAAAGGCCATCCCCTTTTTTTTAACCCTATTGGCAGCTGCCCTCAAAGGCTTTGTGGGCTAGAGAGTGGAGACTAGTTCTAATCTAGCATCAGGGCTGGTGTGGCACTCTCTACATGACATGAAATATCTGAGCTCTTTAAACAATATCTGGAAGAATCATCAATCAGCTATTAAACAGGAAGCAGAAATTAGATTTGAACCATGCAAAATGCTCATAGAATCAATACAGTGTCAAAAGAGGCCCTTTGGCCCAACAAGTCCACACCATCCCACCCAGACCCATCCCCCTATAACCCACCTAAGGTACACATCCCTGAACACTATGGGTGATTTACCTAACCTGCACATCTTTGGACTGTGGGAGAAAACCCACGCAGACATGGGGAGAATGCGCAAACTCCACACAGACAGTTGCCTGAGGGTGGAATTGAACCTGGGACCCTTGCACTGTGAGCCACTGAGCCACCCCTTTCTTTTCCCCCAGATAGCCTAAATTAATCTAGTCCCATTTGCCAGCATTTGGTCCATATCCCTCTAAACCCTTCCTATTCACGTACCCATCCAGATGCCTTTTAATGCTGAGGGGCAAAAGAAAAGGGAGAAAGAATTAAGAGAAAAAGATTCAAGATAAGACAAAAAAAGTTTTTTTTAAAAAAAAAGTTTAATTCTTTCCAAAATCACTCAGGTTAATTAGTGTCTGAAGGAATGAGACTCCACATTTGTAAAATTAGGATTTCAGGGTCAGAAAGATTGTTAGTACTCATCGCTTATCACACCTTTAAAAATTCATCTAGTCATGAATATGCAAGCCCTTACATTTTTGATATCTTTAGTGGGAAATTAGTGCAAGTTCGTGTGAATGCATTGATTTCTTTGCTGAGTACAGCATACCCTTTGGGGGCAAAGTATCTGTGATCATGACTTCCAGATTTCTGCCTTTTACTGTGCTTGCGTGGAACTCGGGAGCTGCAGTTTGATTTCCCCTGTAATAATATTGGCGCTGTCAGCCTCATTTCTGTTTTCAATGCACAATCCAGGGTACATTGTGCAGACTGTCACAGACTGTTACTGGGAGGCTGCATTGCATTTGAATTCAAGTCACAATGATGAAAGAATGATGTACTAACCCACTAACATCTAATACTCTAATTTGCGTTGTAGTGATAAAATGAACTCCATTTAATGTTCATTACTTTAGGTCAAAAAATGATCTCTGTGCATCAATCATGGCAGGGTTCTAACTGCTGAGAATGTTAAGCTTGTCAGTTCTATTTCTGGTGCTCAGTAGGTTAAGGTTGAAAGTTCTAAAGACTCAAAATGAGCTTCATGTGCAGCTCAGATGCAATCCAAGTGATTAAAGGTCTTGCCACTTTGCCTAAAAAACTAACAGCAGTATCTTGTTCTTGTCCCAGCTTAAGATTTCTACTTTCAGAGTGGCCGGCTTTGTGGTATCCCTCAGTGAGATTACTGCACATTGTCAAAGTGTGCACAGTTTGAACTGTGATAACACAGTGTGTAGCTGGAGCTTCTGAAGAAGGGTTCCGACCTGAAATGTCAGCTTTCCTGCTCCTCTGATGCTGCCTGGCCTGCTGTGTTCCTCCAGCTCCACAGTGTTATCTCTGACTCCAGCATCTGCAGTTCCTAACTATCTCACAGTTTGAACTGTGACCTCATGGGATCTGGGATCTAGGTCGGGAATATCCACACCCTCTTTCTACTCAGCTGCGAGAAGACTCGCAAGCATAATATAGGTTGCATTTAAATTCTAGTACTGGAAGAACTCAACAGATTATTGTAAATCCATGTTGTGGTGCGTGCATAATTAGAATTGTCCTTAAAAAGCAAAAACAGTGCGGTGGGGAGGGAACAGGAAACTGGAATCAACTGGAAATCTCCTTTAGAAAGCTGCACAAGCACAATGGGCTGAATGGCCTATCCTCCTGGCTGGTAAGATTCGATCATTCTGTGGTCTGGAATTTAGAACATCTCCACGTGAGGAGATGAAAGGAGTAATGAGAAAGGAAGGCTTTCCAAGCTCTTGGGCAGAGGGCTACAAGATGGACTGGGCTGGGAAAACGGCAGAAAACACTGTTAGGATGGTTCCCTAATGACGTCCTGCCGTTGGGAAGGTTTCCTAGCGACAGGTTTGGATGTGGATTCGTTGCCTGTCTCTTCGTCAGGCAGTGGATTTTCAAACGCATCGTCCTGTAAGGGGCAGTCACATTTATAGAGACGACCACTCTGCAATGCCCAGGAGGGGTGGGAAGGGAGGGGGAATAATGTTGCACAGTCCATGCCCCAACAAAAGGGGACCCCAGTCAGACAAGGATGCTCCCAATGCCACACTGGGGCACCTGCTTAGCCCTGTGACTTATAGTAACCTCACCAAGCAGTCTCCACTATTGCGGTACTTGCCTCTCACCTGCTTCAGCAAGGCCAGCCTCTCCTGGCAGGGGTGCCATGGGTTTCAGAGCTGCCAGCCCCTTGATTGGGAAGCAGCAGCTACATCCCATCCACCGTCCTTAATTGGATTAAATCTCAGAGGCAGTTTTTAAAAAAAAAATTAATTCATGGGATGTGCGTGTCACTGGCTGGTGCAGCATAAAATGCCCATCCCCAGCTGCCCTGGCGAAGATGGTAGTGAGATGCAGATAATTAGGGGATAATGTCCAGGCTTATCCCTGAGCTCGGAGCCAGAATCTGTGGACTTGAGACCCCCACATGGTCCTGATATAGGAATCACAAACGCTTTGGTAAAATGCTGCCCCCAAGTTATAGGGGCATTACGATTATAGCTAGGGAAAGGGTCAGTAAGACCAATGGATGTTGGGGGGAATGAGTTATCTCATGTGGCTGTTGGAAACACTTACGCGCCAGAGTGGATTCGGAAGGATCCAACTTCGTTGTTGCACCAGCCCATGGCTTGTAGAGATGGATAGTCATCGGTCAACTCTCCCTTCCTGCCCAGAAAGTTCTCTCTCTCAAACATGGACATCCGACATTCACAGTGGTTCTGTGGGAAGGACATAATAACAGCCTATTTGTGTAATACCATTTTTTGTCATAAGAGTATAAGAAATAGGAACAGGAGTAGGCCATTCAGCCCTTCAGGCCTGCCCTGTTATTCTATAAGATCATGGTTGATCTGCGTAACCTCAAAGTCCTCTTTTCATGCCATCTATTCATGACCCTCAATTCCTTGATATTTCAAAGAGCTATCTTCTTCCTCTTCAAACACTTCCAGTGATCTCACCTCCACACCCTCTGGGCTAGTCATTGCAGACATTCACTACCTTCTGGGAGATGAAATTCCTTTGATCTCAGTTTTAAATGAGTGTCCCCTTATTCTGTAACTATCTCCCATAGTTTGAGGTTTCCCCACTAGTGACATACGTTTCCAGCTTTTGTGGCCACTCATTTGCCATTTAACCTCTGCTTTGTAACCTTATGTGTGTTTATGAATAAAATGAAGCTGCTCCCTATCCTACCCCACCAACATAATCTTCCGTTCCTTTCTCCTTCATGTGTATATTGCTTCCCCTTAAAGACATCTTCGCTGTTTGCCTCACCCACAGCTTGTGGTGGTAGATTTCAGGTTCTCTGGGGTTTTTAGTCTGAATCGTGTACGTGTGCTCTCTACTGCTTAAGATTTGACTAGAGTGTGTTGCGTGCATGGGGACACTTACAGCGCAGGCGATAGTTCGGAAAGAGGTCAGTCTCTCGACGTGATAAGAGTTACTGCCACTCCAGCTTTCCCAGTGTGGGTACTGCCCTCTCTCCAGCACAAACTGCTGCCCCTGGTAGTTTGTGTGCTCATAACCCACCCAGCTGCGGAGAAAATACAAGGAGGTCAGAGCAATCCCATGTAAGTTACCAAAACACAGCATTTCAGAGCGCCTTTCAAAACAGGTTTGATTATCCTTCACGGCTTTGCCTTTGTCTTTGACATGAAGAAAGGCTCCAAAATGAGGAATGGTGGGAGTCTTAATTAACCCAGTACAATATGACTGATGTCCTGAATGTGGGATATTGATCGGCATTTTTTTAGGCACCATAAAACCCCACCATAAAATCCTTTCACAATTCATCCGAAATCCAGGTACACATTGCCCTTCACCGCTCCTGTTCATTTCAACATGTTTATCTTGTCACACCAGGGTGGTGTGCTGAAAATTGAGCTCCACTATTTCCAGAGTCCTCACAAACGTTAAAGATTGTTTTATCAAAGTATCCAAGAATTCCTCATTTTTCCTGTCTTTTAGATTCAGATTGACAGAAAGCACACAGCAAGAATTACTATTTATTTGTAATAAATAGATTCTAGCTACAGGTAAACATTAGGAACTGTCAACATATAACTCTACCGGTTAAAACTCCAACTTCCTTATAAAATCCCTCCCACACATGTACAGACAAATGAAATTGGTGTTATAGGTGAAGGGAAAAACATGGAATACAGTTCAGTGGCCCCTGTTCATAGGGTTCGTTGGAATGATTCTTTGGCTGTTCAGGGCTTGCTGTTCTTCAAACTCTCTTTCTTCAGATACTAACCACTTCCTTGCATAAGGTACATAGCAACTGTTCCTCTGGGAGAGAAGAAGGGTAAGAGGGATCTAATAGAAGCTTTCAAAATCGTGAGGAGGCTGGCTAGCATAGATAGTGAGAAGCTGTTCCCATTTGTAAATGGATCAAAAAACAGAGGGCCCAGATTCAAAGTGATTTGCAAAAGGAGATGGGTATGAAACGAACTGCCTGGAGATATGGTGGAGGCCCATTGAATTGAGGCATTCAAGAGGGCATGGGGTGATTGTTTCATATAGAAGCATCATTAGGCCATTCAACCCATCGAGATCCCCTGATCATGGCTTATACGTTTCTCAACCCCACTCTTCTGCCTTCTCTCCCTAATCCTTAATTCTCTTACTAATCAAGCACCTATCTATCTCTGTCTTAAATGTGCTCAATGACTTGGCCTCTACAGCCTTCTGCAGCAATGAATTCCATAGGTTCACCACACTCTGGCTGAAGAAATTCCATCCCTTTACTCTGAGGCTGTGCGCTCACCTCCTAAACTCTCCTACCTGTGGAAACATCTTGTCCATGTCCACTCTGTCCAGACCTCTCAGTATTCTATAAGTTTCAATCAGATCCCTCCTCATCCTTCTAAACTGAATTGCCCCAGAGTCCTCAACTGCTCCTTATATGACAGCCCTTCAACCCTGGGATCATTCTTGTGAACCTCCTCTGGACCCCCTCCAACACCAGCACATCCTTCCTTAGATACAGGGTTGAAACTGCTCACAATATTCCAAATGCAGTCTGACCAGAGCCTTATACAGCCTCAGCAGTATGTCTTTGCTCTTGTATTCTAGCGCTCTTGAAATGAATACTAACATTGCATTTGCCTTCCTAACTATTAACTGAACCTGTATGTTAACCTTAAGAGAATCCTGAACAAGGACTGCTAAGTCCCTTTGTGCTTCAGATTTCTGAATCTTTTCCCCATTTATAAAATAATCTATACCTTTATCCTTCCTACCAAAGTGCATAACCTCACACTTTCCCACATCATATTCCATTTGCCACTTCTTTGTCTACTCTCCCAGCTGTTCAAATCTGCTGCAGTCTCCCTGCTTCCTCATCAGTACCTGTCCCTCTGCAAGGTTATGGGGTGAAAGCAGGAAGTTGACAGGAGGCAATGATGCTCATTTGAAGAGCCAGTATAGACATGATGGGCTGAATGGCATCCTTCTGTACTGTAACACTTCAGTGATGGTGTGACATTCAATTTAAAACATTAACTTTGTTTCTCTGTCTAGTGCTGCAGACCTGTTGATTTTCTGCAACATTTTCTCTTTTTATTGCTAAGTCCAACGGATTAATAGAATAGAGGGAACATAAAAAGCTAATCCAACATGGATCTATCTATAGATCTCTTCAGCATACTCTCTCTCTCTCTCTCTCTATATATATATATATATAGTATAAGATCTCAGAGAGAAATACTGACTTTTGAGTAGTGAAACACAAGTTAAGTTTAGATACATTGACAGGGTGTCCAATTTAAACAGCTTTGTTTCTTTCTGTGGCATCTCAATGTGGTATAATCACTTTTGGATTGATCTCATGCTGCTGGCTGATCCAGATACTCACGCTCCACTTTCCACCTTCATAGACCGCACCGTTTCGAATCCAGACTCCATCACATTGTGACATTCTGCTGTGAATTCATGTCGACGGCCCTGGAAGAACTCCTCATCCCAAACAATGATCTGCGGGAGAGCAGGTGAGGGGGAGGGGCGTGATGTTAATATGAGAGTTTCATGACGGTGGAATTAACTGCAGCTTTGATCGGACACTGTACAAAAGGTGCACCTTCATTTGGGAGCGAAGTTGACAAAACTCGGTAGGAATAAACAGCAAACTCTGCAGGAAGCCTCTGTATTTCACAACAATTCCCATCTGCTGCAAATCTGGGCTGAAATACAGGCTTGAATTAGTTTTGAAACCAGCAATGCATCAGTTGTGGCACTTGTGCTACATCAAGCCCCATAACCCTCAGCCATCTGTGTGCTCTTCTAATTCAAGCCTATTGAGAATCCCCAATTTTTAACTGTTCCATCATTGCTCCCCCCCAACACTCCTCTACCTAACTACCTCATTTTTCTCATTTTCTCTTATTCCTCATTTAAGGCATTTAAAACTCACCAATTTGACCAAACTTGTGACCATATGTGGATGAATGAATGATTTAATAGTCACATATATCTAGGAAGGTATGGTGGAAAGTGCTTTGTCACCATTGTCCAGTGTCATTTTGAGTCACAAAAGAATTATAGAATCTTGACGGTGTGGAAGCAGGATGTTTGACTCACTGAGTCCATACCGACCCTCTGAAGAGCATCCCAACCAGACGCATCCCCTACTCTGTCCCTGTAACCTTGTATTTCCCATGGTCAACCCACCTAACCTTTACATCCCTGGATACTAGGTGCAGTTTAGCAATCCACCTAAACTGCACATTTTCAAACTGTGGCAGGAAACCAGAGGAAGCCCACACAGACGCAGGGAGAATGGGCAACAATGTCCACACAGGCAGTCCACCTGAGAATGGAGTTGAACCCGGGTCCCTTGAGCTGTGAGGCAGCAGTGCTAACCACTAGGTCACCGTGCCACCTTTTACAGTGAGGTGTATTGTAAAACTAAAACTACAACAAGGCACGTGATAAGCGAAAGTAACTCACCCAGCCTCCTTCAACAGCACCTTTTAAAACCTGAGCTCCACCACCTTGTGGGACAAGGGCCAGCAGATACATGGTGACAGCGCCACCTGCAAGTTCCCCTCCTATATTGGAATGATACACCGTTCCCTCAGAGTCGCTGGGTCAAAACCCTCAAATCCCCTCCCTGACAGCACTCTGGGTGGGCCTACAGTCTGAAGGCTGCAACGGTTCAAGAAGGCTGCTCCCCACCACCTTCTCAAGAGCAATTAGGGATTGGCAATAAATGCTGGCCCAGCCAATGATGCCCACTTGAGAATTAAAGAATTTATTTTAAAAATTGTGCAGGGAGTAATGTGAGCTTAGGTTTATTTTATAAGCAGAAGTCATAGAGATGCTCTAGACAGCTTATTGTCTGTAGGAAGTAAGACCCATGCTAACACAAATGTCACCAAGGATTGCAAACTGGAAGACCTAGTTTATTAACATGTACTGCTGGCCTTTCATATTTAAAACCTTGCTGGTTATATTCCCCCACTGGGGACGTGATGGCCTAGTGGTATTATTGCTAGGCTATTAATCCAAGAAACTCAGCGAGTGTTCTGTGTTCAAATCCTGCCATGACAGATGAATTCAATCTAAATAAAATCTGAATCTGTCATGACAATGCAACCATTGCTGATTGTTGGAAAAATCCATCTGGCTGCCTAATGCCCTTTAGGGAAGGAAGTCTGCTGTCATCACCTGGGCCGGCCTACATGTGACTCCAGACCCACAGCAATGTGGTTGCCTCTCATTTGCCCTCTGAAATGGCCTAGCAAGCTACTCAGTTTAATGGCAACTAAGCATGGACAAGAAATGCTGGCCAGTAAGCAAAGCCCACATCCCACAAGTGAATAAAAGTTAAGACATCATCATGGGTGCCTTGCCCAGTGTTTAGAGCAGCTTAACAAATGGTAAATAGAAATGAATGTGCCAAATGGCAGATCATTTTATATTGGGTACCAGCATGAAAATTAAACAAAAAAAAATTGGTTAAGAAAATCGCCATGGTAACTGTAGGCCTAAGATAAATTCACATAGAAATCCCAGCAGGACCAATGCATCATACATCATCAAATTAATGAAAGCCATCAAAAGAATTTTAACATGTTCTTTAAGGATTTTTACTGTTGCAAGATATGGACAGTGTAGAACAGTATAGAAAAGCCCGTTAGGACTGTGACATATAATTAGGTTTAGTTATTTGGAGCAATTTAATTTCTTTGCAACGTATTATTTACCTTTGACTGGCTGCTCTCTGCAATTACATATCATTATGTGGCCGTTATTAAAGAGGCTTCTGGATTGAGCTGGAGCTACTGCAAGGCAGGGAGCTTAAAACAGCAACAGCCTACTTTGGTCTAAATTTGGCTACCAATTGAGGCTGCCCTTTCAGACAATGTGCAAGCAGACATGTTTTCTGCATTTCCCTCCTTACTTGTCATTAAACATGTTAAAATTCTTTTGATGGCTTTCATTAATTTGATGATGTATGATGCATTGGTCCTGCTGGGATTTCTATGTGAATTTATCTTAGGTGTACAGTCAGCATGGCAGATTTCGAAACATGTCAAGTTGTTTTCGGTTTGATCAGGGCCCTTTTGGTTTTGAGCTAGCTGATCTTTCTACCTCTCTTCCGTGTGCCAAAACTAGTTCTGGCTTGTTAAGTGTAGCAGTAATGTTAATGTGGCAGCACATAGACATAGGCACAGACAGAATAATGCGCACATTCGGATGCATATAAATGTATAATAAATTTCAAGCATTACAGTGATTGAAGAAGGTGCTCACTATGAGTTCCCAAGGGTAGTTTGGAAGATGGGGTCTGTAAATACTGCTCCTGACCGGGATAAAATGATTTTGAGCAGTAATGACTTAGAAAGTAGCTCAGGAACATTGTGGCTTGAACAGCGGTGTTTAAGATTTGGCTTGTTTTAATTCTGAAGACAGAATGAGGATGAAGTGGGTGTGGGACTGAATCCTAACCGTGTGTGTGAAATGTGTAAGGAATCTGGAACAGCCAATGCCTCACTCATCAGCCGCCTGGCACCTTCTTGGGGCAGTGCACTCGCCCATCTGATCCTCAGGCAAGGACAGTTTTGAAGCTCTGCGCTGATGCCTTCTATAGTAGACTCACCACTGCCCAGTCGAATTTCTGAACAATTGCCTCAGGTGGGCAGTAGGGGGAGTGCCCAGTGAACCTGGATCTGACCCTGAACAAAGGAGTTGTGCCAACCCTAAAGTTGTTGCTGTTGACCCTGGGTAAATTTTCAATTACCACCTTGCTGCTTGTCCGTCTGACCAAGTTACCGTGCGAAGCTTCGAGGGGACCTCCCGGATGGGGTACGTTGCCCGTAGGTGCAGCTTTCATCCAGACTTTTTTGGCCTTTGATCCACTTCTCATTCTTTAACCTGAAGGTCCATGCATGCGCACAATTCATCAATAGGGTTTGCATTGTATACCCATTGGTAACCTGAATGGTATCTCACTGGGTTTGAGGCATTAGGCTGCTGGGTGGCCAACTTGGTAAGTATAAATTGGGGTTACCACAGGACACGTAAACCCACACACTGGGGACTTATGACAGACATCTTCCTGAGATGGAGGTCAGATTGGTTCAGACTTCAATTCGAAAGGCCACTTCTGGTAACCAACATGATCCCGGTGTATTTTGCCTTACCTTCCAGTGGCTGGAGAGCTTGGTACAGTGAGACATCTTGAATTTTATTTATATTTAGGGCTTAGTCCTGGAACAAATAAAGATCGAGATTAAATGCTGTGCGGATGGTGTTTGCTGCCATTGTACAACGCACTTTTCCATAGAAATTTGCAACACAGTAGGCCATTCAGCCCATTGAGCCTGTACAAGATATGAGAAAATGTTAGTCAATTGTAAGGGCACTGGTAGCAAAGAGTGGCATTCTTTATATCTGGATCTCAGCTGTGAGTGGCAGGTTATCTTCCAGCAAGGGGATCATGATGTAACATTTACTTCTCATTATTTGATGCTCACAAGGCTTTTCCAAAGCCCTCCAAATATTTCATTTTCTAGTATTTAACCAATGTTTACAGATCATACCATAGTCATATGTGCAGAAGAGGCCATTCAGCCCATTGAGTCTGCATCAACACATGAGAAATACCTGACCTTCAACCTTATCCCATTTTACCAGCACCTGGCCCTTGAATGTAATGATGAGCCAAGTGCTCATCTAGATACCTTTTTTAAAGATGTGAGGCAACCCACCTCTACCACCCTCCCAGGCAGCGCATTCCAGACCATCATCCCCACTCTGGATAAAAAAGATTTTCCCCACATCCCTCTAACCTTCCTGCCGGTCACCTTGAACCTGTGCCCTTTTGAGACTAACCCTCCAACTAAAGGGAACAGCTGCTCCTTACCCATTCTGTCTGTGTCCCTCATAATTTGGTACACCTCAGTCAGATCACCCCCTTCAGTCTTCTCTGCTCCAATGAAAACAACCCAAGCCTGTCCAACCTTTCCTCATCACTTAAATTTTCCATCCCAGTCAGCATCCTGATGGTTCTCCTCTTCACTCCCTCCAGTGCAATCATATCCTTCTAGTAATGTGGTGCCAAGAACTGAACACAGCACTCTAGCTGTCGTCTTGGATATGACAGTCTTCTGGTACCTCACTCAGTGGGCATTTTTCATGTGGTTGCCTGGGCAGCAAGTTTCAGCTGCCAGTCTACATTGCTGGGCATTTCGGCCGGTCATCAAGACTGCTTTGTTCTGACCAGGGTCTATGTGGGAACCGTGTGTTCGTATGTGAGCTGTGTGGAGCTATACAAAACTTTGGATAGGTCCCAGCTGGATCACTGTGTGCAGTCCTGGTCACCACAGTACAGGAAGGATGTGATTGCAATGGAATGAGTGCAGAGGAGATTCACCAGGATGTTGCCTGAGATGGAACAATTTATGGAGAGAGACTGGATAAGCTCAGGTTGTTTTCTTCAGAGCAAAGAAGGCTGAGTGGGGACCTGATAGAGGGGGGTAAGATTATGAGGGCCATGGACAGGGTA